TGTCCATTACAAACCTCTCTTCAACTCAGATGGAAAGGTCTAGCTGCCCTCCCTGTATATCTTTTTGAGTGTTCATTAACAACATGTAGCACAAACATAACATTTTATGTTAATTTTATTTCATTTCTAAAATTGCATACTTTTACATTTTAAATTAAATTTATTTTTAATTGATACAGGAAGTCTAAAATTTATACATGTTAATGAAGCACCTTGTGATGTTTTGATGATACTTAACTAGGGTTAAACATGTCTATATCCTCAAACAATATTTATTTCTTTATGGTTAAAAACTTCAAAATCCTGTCCTCTTAGCTGGGTGTGGTAGCACACACTTGTCATCCCAGCTACTTGAGAGGTTGAAACTGGAGAATTGCTTGGGTCCATGAGTTAAAGCCCAGCCTGGGCAATCTAGTGAGATACTGCCTCAAAAACAATCCTCCAGTTTTCTGATGCATACAGTGTATTATTGTTATCTGTAATCACCTTACTATGTAATAATAGCACATCAGAATTTCTTGCTCCTATCTAGCTGTATGTTAGTATTCATTGATTAGCTTTACTCCATCTCTCCCAAACCCTCCCCAGGCTCTTGTAACTACCATTTTATTCATAACTTTGATGAGATCAACCTTTGTATTTTCCACATATTGGTGAGATCATGCAGTACTTATCTTTCTGTACCTGGATTAGTTTCACATAATACAGTGATCTCCAGTTCTATCCATGTCTCAAATGGTAGAATTTTGTTTTGTTTTATGACTGAATAGTATTCTGTTATGTTTAAGTAACACATCTTTATATATTCATCATTTGATGGACACTGTTTTCATTTCTTGGTTGTGAATACTGCTACAATGAACATGGGAGTGCTCTTAGATATCTCTTCAACATTCCAGTTTGGTTTCCTTTGGAAATGGTTGTACTACATTTTGTTTGGACATTCACTCATTGAAGTATTCTGGATTGTTTATGGTTTCTAATATTAACATAACCATTTCTTTGTCCTTTAGTCAGAGAGAGGTTTTTTTTTTGTTGTTGTGCTGGGTGGGGATACATTGTAACATTTACTTATTCCTTCCCCACCCCCCTCCCCTCCACTGCTCTCTTTCATCCCCTTCCCCCTGATTCAACAGGTATCATTTTTGCATTTACATACATGTGTATACATCATTTATACCATATTCAGCCTCCTACCCCTTTCCCTACCTCCTCCCCCTTCCTACCAGTGCCAACCCCCTCCCCCAACCCCTAGGCAGAACCTGTTCTGCCCTCCTGTTATCTGATTGTGTAGAAGAAAAAACATAAAAGATAAAAACCAAAACATGGCATTTTTTCTAGTTTGATAAAAGTGTTTTGTTTCCATGCCTATTTATATTATAACCCCAATTGACTCATCTCTACCACTTCTCTTCACTCCTCCCTAGTCCCCAGCCAGTTTTATATTTCTATATTCATTCCTGTACAGAGAGGTCATCAACGACATTCAAGTTTTTAGTTTCCTTCCCTTTCCCAAACCTCCCATACATAGCCTCCTCTCATTGTGACCCATGTCCCATAATTTGCTATATTTGTTTTTGGCCTATACTTCTCATTTGGGGGAGAACATGTTTTTGGCCTTCTGAGCCTGAATAACTTCACTTAAGGTGATGTTCTCCAGTTCCATCCATTTACCTGCAAATGACAAAATTACATTCTTCTTTGTGGATAAATAAATTTTCATTGTGTATGAAATACTACATTTTCTTAATCCATTCTTCAGTATTGGGGCATCTGGACTGTTTCCATAGCTTGGCTATTGTGAATAGTGCTTAAATAAATAGGGGTGTGCAGGTGCCTCTGGAGTAACCTGACTCAGATTCCTTTGGGAATATCCCTAGGAGTGGTATTACTAGATCATATGGAAGATATGTGTTTAATTTTTTAAGAAGCCTCCATATTGTCTTCCATAGTAGTTGTACTAGCTTACATTCCCACCAGCAGTGTATGAGAGTTCCTTTTCCCCACATCCTTGCTAGCATTTGTTGTTGGTGTTCTTGATGATAGCTATTCTAACAGGAGTGAGGTAGAATCTTAGTGTGGTTTTGATTGGAATTATCTTTATGGCTAGGGATGGTGAGCATTTTTTCATATGCTTTTTTAGCCATTTGGACTTCTTCCTTTGAAAAAGTTCTGTTCAGATCAGTTTCCCATTTCTTCATTGGGTCATTGATTTTTGGGGAGTTTAGTTTTTGAACTCCCTGTATATTCTGGTTATCAACCCCTTGTTGGGTGTATAGCTAGCAAAGATTTTTCTCCCATTCTGTGGGTGGCCTTTTCAATTTAGAGACCATTTCTTTTGTTGTGAAGAAGCTACTTAATTTCATGTAGTCCCTTTTGTTGATCCTTTCTCTTAGTTGCTGAGCCACTTGAGTTCTACTGAGGAAGTCCTTGCCTATGCCTGTTGCTGCCAGTGCATTCCCTGCTCTTTCCTGTACTAGCTTCAAGGTTTCAGGTCTGTTATTAAGGTCTTTAATCTACTTTGAGTTGATACTTGTACACAGTGACAACCATGTATTTACTTTCAGTTTTCTGCAAGCAGATATCCAATTTCCCCAGCAATGTTTGATGAAGAGTTTGTCTTTTCTCCATCATGTGTTTTTGATACCTTTGTCAAAAATTAGATGGGCGTAGCTGTGTGGCTTCATGTCTGGGTCTTCTGTTCTGTTCCCACTGGTCTTCATATCTGTTTTTGTGCCAGTACCATGCTATTTTTATTTCTACATCTCTGTAGTATACATTGAAGTCGGGTATTGTAATTCCTCCAGGCTTGCACTTTATGCTCAGTATTGCTGTGGCCTTTCGCAGTCTTTTCTGTTTCCAAATGAAACAGAAAGGGTTGATTTTTCAATCTCTGTGATGAGTGTCATTGGGATTTTGATAGTAATTGTGTTGAACAGGTAGATTACTTTTGGTAGTATAATCATTTTTACTATGTTGATTCTGCCAATCCATGAGTATGGGGGCTCTTTCCACCTTCTGTAGTCTTCTTCAATTTCTTTCTTGATTGGTTTCTAGCTTTCCTTATAGAGATCATTCACATCCTTTCTTAAGTTTATTACTATGTATTTGATTGTTTTGAGCTATTGTAAATGGAATTGTTTTCCTATATTCTTTCTCAGTCTGTTCATTGTTGATGTATAGAAAGGCTACTGATTTTTGTAAGTTTTGCTGAAGCTGTTTATAGTGTCTAGAAGTTTTGGGGTGGAGTTTTGCAGATCTTTTAGGTACAAGATCATATCATTTGTAAATAAGGGGTAGTCTGACTACTTCATCTATTTGTATTCCTTTAATATCTTCTTCGTGCCTTATTGCTCTGGCTAGGAATTCCAAGACTATGTTGAATAGGAGTGGGAAGAGTTCCTGATTTCAGGGGAAATAGTTTCAGTTTTTCCCCATTAAGGATGATGTTGGCTATAGGTTTGTCATATATAGCCTTTATAATGTTGAAGTTCATTCCTTCTATTCCTAGTCTTCTTAGAGCTTTTATCATGAACTGATGTTGAATTTTATCAAAGGCTTTTTCTGCATATATTGAGATGATCAAGTAGTTTTTGTCTTTGCTTCTGTTAATGTGCTGTATTACACTTATTAATTTGCATATATTGAATCATCCTTGCATCCTTGGGATGAAGCTGACTTGGTCATGGTACATTATCTTAACTTTATGTTGTTGGATTTGGTTTGCCATTATTTTATTGAGGATTTTTTTCCTCAGTGTTCATTAAGGAGATTGACCTGTAGTTCTCTGTTTTGGATGTGGCCTTGTCCGGTTTTGGGATGAGTGTAATACTGGTTTTAGAAAATGAGTTAGGCAGTGTTCCTTCCCTTTCTATTTCATGGAAAAGTTTAAGGAGTGTTATTATTACTTCTTCTTTAAAGGTTTTGGTAGCATTCAGCAGAGAATCCATTGGGTTCTTTTTTGGGAGACTCTTTATTTCTGCTTTGATTTTATTACGTGTTATAGATCTGTTTAGTTGAATAATGCCCTTTTGGATCAGTTTTGGATGGTCATATGTATCTAGAAATTTGTACGTTTCTTCTAGATTTTCCTATTTATTTGCATATAGGTTCTCAAAGTAGTCCTTGATGATTCCCTGGATTTCCTTGGTGTTTATTGTTATCTCCCCTTTTTTTGTTTCTGATATTACTAATTTGGATCTTTTCTCTCCTCATTTTAGTCAGGGGTTTGTCAATATTGTTTATTTTTTCAAAGAACCAGCTATTTGTTTTCATTGATTCTTTGTGTAGTTTTTTTAGTCTCTATTTCATTGATTTTGGCCCTTATTTTTATTATTAAGAGCATGTTTTGATAGGAATTTTTTTGGCTTGTCACTGTTAGTATTTTTAGACTATGGGAAAGCTGATTTGTATAGGCAAAACAGAAACCTAGGACTTCCTGTCACATCGTTACTTGGAGCCTGAGATTGCTAACTGGTTTTCTTCAGCTTTCAGAAATTTTCTTTTTTCTCACTGCAATAAATTTAATTTTATCTTTTAACTGATACATAAAAATGAAAATTTCATGTATTTATGGATCAACATGTGATCTTTATCTATATGTACACATTGTGCAATGTTTCAGACTCTTCTCATGTTTGATTTGTATGTAAAGTCCCATTGTACTTAGTGGAATCATGGGGAAAGTCTTTCTTCTCCATTTTTCTGGAGAGAGAGGTCACCTCAATCATTATCGAACTTTGTTTTTAAACTTTTTTGGTGCACTGGGGTTTGAACTCAGAACCTCATTGCATGCTAGGCAGGCATTCTAAGACTTGAGCCATGTTTCCATGCTTTTTTGGTTTTAGGTATTTTCTGGATAGGGTCTTGTATTTTTGCCCAAGGTTGGCCTTAGATCTGAGTCCTTCTATGCCTCCAGCACAGCTAGGATAGCAGGCACCACCATGCCTATCCCTTGAATTTTATTTTTAATGTGTTCCACATGGTTGCTTTCTGTGCAGGTACCTGGAACTAGAAAGCAGTGGCCATCGGAATGAAGTCAGACTACATTACCGCTCAGGCAGTCACCGTCCTCACACAGAAGTGTTTCCTTACATTTTGGCTGATGACAAGTGGCACAAGCTCTCCTTAGCCATCAGTGCCTCCCATTTGATTTTATACATTGACTGCAATAAGTAAGTGCCATCTTTTCATTTCCAAAGATGGAAAATTCTAACAAAGACTGTCTACTCACATTCCTTCTTTGATGTTTCTTTTTTGTAGAATTTATGAAAGAGTGGTGGAAAAGCCCTCCACAGACTTGCCTTTGGGCACAACATTTTGGTTGGGACAAAGAAATAATGCACATGGATATTTTAAGGTATCTTTTTGCTAGAGTCTGAGCAATAGGTATAAATATGAATGCTTTCTAGTGGATTTGGAAAGTATATTTCACTTTGTTCTGGTGTGAAAATTCAATTTGTATAGTTTTTAAGTTTGTATCTATTTCTATTTGCTTCCTATTTCTGGTATTTACACTTGTATCTTATTAGCTGACAAAATAACTAAATGAGTTTGGTCTTTAAACATTATTATAGAGATGATCACACAGTTGCAATTTCGACAGTTAACATAGTCTTGAAATTAAGCATTCAGATTAATAAAAATGTAAAATGTTAACATACAAATAAATTCTCCATCACTAAAATATTACCTTTCATGATACTTTTACAGAGATATTAATAATAGAGAATTGGAAGCTTTTCAATTTTCATTATTCATGGTCTCCTTGTACTCCAGAAAGTGAGAAAGGAATACATGTATATGTACAAATATGTTCAATTAGAAGCAGCCAAAATTTATATGTTTTTCTTTAGTGTGTACTTAGAAACACTCATAGAATTTCAACATTGGAGAAGATCAAAAGACATCTCATTTAACTTTCCATGTTTTAAATATAGAGAAATAAGGTCCAGAGAATTTCTTGACTAAGCCTGTAGTGTAACCATTTTTCCCTCAATGCCTGAATTACAGAACTGGCTACACTGGTTCTTTTATCAAAGAATGATGGCTGATATATATAATGCATGGATTTCATGATAGAGTAGGCACAAGCTAATTTAAAATTGTGTACGAAGCAAAGTTTATAATTTTAGCAAGGATTTAAAACATATTTAAGCATTGTTGGTTTCTTGGAAGCCAAGTGCTTTGAATGTATATTTTTTGTTTTCCCCCCTCTCCTTTTTATAAACATATATTAATTGTACAAAAAAGTGCTTTGAATATATTATCCCATCTAATCCTTAGTCTTGCTAGTGTTGATATAAGGTCCTTTTTTCTCTTATACGTATGTATTAACCTGATCAGAGAGGTTATGTATCTTGTCCAAAGCCAGGTAGCTATAAGAGACACGTGTACAGAACTGATTCCGTGCTTGCAAATCCTAAAAATCAATAGTCCTTTTCCACATAAGGTACAGCAGATGTATGCTGTGAGTTTCAAGTCTATCATCTACTTAATTTTGATAGTGTTTCCTATGGATCCCAGATGTGACCTCACGTTCCTAACACATCAATTATGTGTATCACTCCAGGGGTCATCAGCTTTACTGTAGTCTGTGAATTCTATCTACTAGAGTTGTGCAGTGCACAAACTATACAACTATACATAGTAGCCTAGTTTTCATGTTGCTACTTTCAAGTGATGGGATTTTGTACCAAAGCTCCCCATTCAAAATTAAGGCAAACAACAGATCCAGTAATTGTCACACAATATAGTAAAATATTTGTCATTCATGTTGATACATGCTATCACATTAAATGTGTAGAAGATGCACACACCAGTGTTTAGCTGGTAAATCTTAATCAGAACATTCAAAATTGTCTTCATAACATGTTGATATTCTCACCTCTGTCATTTGATATTCTGTTTGCATTTTTTCAAAGGGTTAAAGTAAAATATCAATTAAAGAAAGTACATAAAATGGTTGAAGGAAGAGAGGGGATGGGGTATGAAAGATTCAGCTGAAGTGTGTCTGGTGAGATCTCTTCTGAGTTACCATTGGATTTTACTTTAAGTGCCCAGCAAGCTTGAAGTTAATTATACCTTAATGACTAAGGATGCATGTAAATTTTGCCTTTAGATGTGTATATAGGGGTCATTTCCAAGTGGCATTTAAAAAATTTCCTGCTGAATTTTATTGACTCCTAGGACTTGTCAGAAAGTCTAAATGCAGCTGCTGAATAAATCTATTGTCCTTCTTGAATTGAAAAAGCTAGTTTTAAAAAGATCCCACTGAAAAATAAGAAATGTTCAAATGAGCATTGCTTTCATAAGCTGTTTTTCTATCCTTTTCTTTTGATCATTAATTCCAAATTGGTATCAGTTTCAGTGGTGCTAAACCAGAAGTGATTTTCAAGTTGATTCTTAAAGGTCAGTTTTAAGCCCTACTTCTGTGGCTAACTAAAAATAACTTCTCAAAATAACGTGACTATTGCCACTTAATTATATCTTGACATTTAATTGTAAGGCTTAAAAATATTATCAATAAGAGACTACATGAGTAGCCATTTATTTTGCTTGACGAATTTCTTTCCCCTGGTATAAAGTGGAAGTAATATACTCAGAGGTTTTGGAGAGTCTGCTCTTTAATGTTTTCTCCATGATTTTGACTATTGAATACAATTTGGATAAATGAAAATAATATGTCTTAAAATTTTTTTTATTTACAGGGTGTAATGCAAGATGTGCAATTACTTGTCATGCCCCAAGGATTTATTGCTCAATGCCCAGATCTGAATCGCAGTAAGTCTATTAGTTTGTGCCCTGTGTGATGTGATGAAAGTGTGCTTCTTGCTGAATTTTGTCTAGGGTGTCAGTTTGAAATTGGAATTCACATATAATGGTTGTCAGCATAGACTTAACCAGATTGAACCCCTTATGAATGCAACTTGATCAATGTCATCTTTGTAATTCCAGCTTGTCCAACTTGCAATGACTTCCATGGCCTTGTGCAGAAAATCATGGAGCTGCAGGAGGTCTTAGCCAAAACATCAGCCAAGGTAAACACAATGAGGGAGCTCAAAAATCCTTGTGGTTTCTACTAGTTAATGTTAAGCCATAGCTTCTCACTTTTGAGACATCCCATATACTGTGCTATTTGCTAGGACTGAAAATTGAAATCCTTATTTGAGGAAAAGACTTATAAATATTCAAACCCAAACCCGAGCCATATATATAAAAACGATTCAGTAAATCAGAAGTGAAGCAGATTATCTGGTTTATGAACTGCTTACTATAGAAAGATTTATCAGTGTGTTTACTTTTTATTCTTACTTATCTCTATTTAGCTTTTCATTATAAGCAAGAACTTGGGAGAAGTGTAAAGAATATTGACACTATAATTGTGACCAGGAATGGTTCCACAAATGCTTTCTGCTGTTATGTTACAAGTTCTAGGTTTATTCACTAATTAATGTATTAGGCATATATCAGGTTTAGTGATAATCTCACCAGATTTTTAATTTTGCGTAGTATTTGCAGATTATCTTACTTCAAACAATGTAATTCCTAAATTTTATTTTTTTCACTTGTGTAAATCTCTGTTAATGAAATTAGACATTCTTTAATGAAAAATACTCTACATTGTGAGTGATGCTATTTTTGAATTAGCCTTCAATTTGTGTTTTGTAACTATGACTTTTGTTTTAGAGATAAGTAGTAAATTTTTCACAAAAAGAAAAGGAGAAAAAAATCCTTTTTTAAAACTTGGAGACTTAAATTTATTTGTAACAAGTGGTTGGTAGGCTTAGCCATTATCATCAAGGTAGGCTTAAATAATTAGATGCCAACTAGAGTTTTGCTTGTCTGCATAGCTACTGTGATGAGCAAAGCAGCTCCTTCCTTTTTGCCACAGCTGTCTCGAGCTGAACAGCGCATGAACAGACTGGATCAGTGCTATTGTGAGAGGACTTGCACCATGAAGGGAGCCATCTACCGAGAATTCGAGTCCTGGACAGATGGCTGTAAGAACTGCACGTGCCTGGTATGGCTTCCATTTGTGTTTAGAAGATGGGAACTCTGATGCCCCCACTCTTTAAAAATTTATTAAAACAGTGTAATCATGAAAATTTCAAGACCCATTTCCTCTAGACATAGCGCTGAAGTGCCAGCATACCTGGTTACTTCTAAAGAACTGTATGTTGCATTATTAAAAACACTTTCTAGCTGTAAAGATGATTATGGTTTTGCAGTGCTATATTTAAGTTTATTGCTACACACAGGAAGTTAGCAATTTAAATTAGGTTGGTAAAGTGATTCCCAAAGGATTCTCTCCTGTAGTCCTTAGCATTTCCAGGGATTTTTTCCCTCATGTTTTTGTTAATGTACTTCAATGACACTAAATTATATACAGCCTTAAATATTGTGTTCACATTGAGCAATATAAACAAATATTGTAGTCTAAATTAACAAATAATCTTTAATAGTTTGCTAATACAATTGGCAGTCAAATTTTATAATTTGAGTAAATACTTTTATCTAATTGCTTAATAATAAGCTAGAATATTTTAGTGCATTGTTTTATGACATTATTATTTCAAAACTCTACTCATTTTCAAAGAAAAACTCAAAATGAATTTGATTTTGAACTTTTAAATTCCATATAAACTAATCTGATAAGGAGTTGGCTTCCTGGAAAGAAGTCAGATGTATGTAAATTAGCCTTAAAAAAATTTCCTATGTTCATTCAGTTTATTCAAAAGCAGAATGTCTTGCATGTACAAAGATCAAAAGTAGTTCATAAATAATTGAGTGACTGCGTGTGTGTGAGAGTGTATGTGTTTGCATGCATGTGGTGGTGATTTTGATTTAGGAATGAACACATTCCTACCCAAATAATAACACTTTAAAAATATGGTGAAGCCTCCCAAAATTTGTTAAATGGGTACCAGAAATCTAATTCAGTAAAATACAGTGTGAGCTGTGCTGAGGTCAGTAAAATGACCAGGGCCTGAGTGACCAGGAGTGTGCAGGAGCTCCGGACAATCTTTAGGAATCTTGTTACTCGTATCTTCTGCAGTTGGGACATCCTTGTGGTGATTGTCAGCTTTGCCTTGTGGGAGTAGATTGTCCAAGCTTAAATATCCATTGGAAGATTCTGGGTCTTGAGACTGGTACTTCAGGATGGCAGCATCTTTTCCAGAAATTTCTTGTTTGTTGATGCTCATTTTATGAGTCATCTGGGCATAGTTGGCTGTCCCAGGTGTCTCCTCAGTCTACTCTTTCCCCATTGGTTGTACTCTCCCTTACACCTATGTCATTATCCACTTCTCAGAGAACTGTGCAGTTAGGATTAGTTGCTAGACAGAAGATGGGAACCAGTCACCAACTACAACAGAACCTAATTTTATTGTGGGTTTCTGTATTATGGGTATCACTGTATTATGTGGCATTTTGTGTGAAGAGTTTAAAATTTAAGAAATAGATAAAAAAATCCTTGATAACTATTAAATTCCTAACTTGGAAACTGTGTATTATATTGTTTGCTTTCAGAATTAGGAACTGTCCAGTTGAAACCCTGATCTGCCCGATTCCTGACTGTCCACTTAAATCGGCTCTTGCATATGTGGATGGCACGTGCTGTAAGATGCAGATGTGAGCATAACTTTTATGATGAATATTTTTCTTTGGTAAAATACAGCTTGTCTTTTTTTTAACATTTTTTCATATGTGCTATTACAATGTTTGGGTTATTTTCTCCCCCATCCCACCACCCCTCCTCTCCGTCTCCCGCCATCTCCCTCCCTTTCCCCCAACCCCTGGCTTTCTAGGCAGAAAACTGTACTGGCCCTTTATTTTCTACCATTTTGTTGAATAGAGAATATAACAATAATAAGCATAGGACAAAGCAGTTTTGTAGTTGAGATAAGGATAGACTATACAGGGAGATTCCTAGCATTGCTTTCTTGTATAAAGGTTGTACTCTCCCTTACACCTATGTCATTATCCACTTCTCAGAGAACTGTGCAGTTAGGATTAGTTGCTAGACAGAAGATGGGAACCAGTCACCAACTACACAGAACCTAATTTATTGTGGGTTTCTGTATTATGGGTATCACTGTATTTATGGCATTTTGTGTGAAGAGTTTAAAATTTAAGAAATAGATAAAAAAATCCTTGATAACTATTAAATTCCTACTTGGAAACTGTGTATATATTGTTTGCTTTCAGAATGGAACTGTCCAGTGTGAAACCCTGATCTGCCCGGATTCTGACTGTCCACTTAAATCGGCTCTTGCATATGTGGATGGCAAGTGCTGTAAGGAATGCAGATGTGAGCATAACTTTTATGATGAATATTTTCTTTGGTAAAAATAAAGCCTTGTCTTTTTTTTTACATTTTTTCATATGTGCATACAATGTTTGGGTCATTTCTCCCCCATCCCCACCACCCCCTCCCTCTCCCCGCCAGTCTCCTCCCTTTCCCCAACCCCCTGGCTTCTAGGCAGAAACTGTACTGCCCTTATCTCTAATTTTGTTGAAGAGAGAATATAAACAATAATAAGAAAGACAAAGCAGTTTTGCTAGTTGAGATAAGGATAGCTATACAGGGAGATTCCTAGCATTGCTTTCTTGTATAAATGTGTTACATTCTAAGTTGATTCTTCTCCAACTGACCTTTTCTCCAGTTCCTGATCCCCTTTTCCTATTGACCTCTGTTGCTTTAAAGTTTCTGCATTAGTTCCTTTGCATTAAGGACATCCAATACTATCTTATTTTTTTTTTTTTTTGGGTTTCTTACCTATCCTCATACCTCCTGTGTGTGCTCTCACCTTATCATGTGACCAAAGTCCAGTCACATTGCTGTATTTGCCCTAGATCTAAAGTCCACATATGAGGGAGAACATACAATTTTTGGTCCTCTGAGCCTGGATAACCTCACTCAGAATGATATTCTCCCATTCCTTTCATTTACTTGCAAATGATAAGATTTCATTCTTCTTTTCTTGATCCATTCATCAGTGGTGGGGCATCTTGGCTGTTTCTATAACTTGGCTATTGTGAATAGTGCTGCAATAAACATGGGTGTGCAAGTGCCTCTGGAGTAACCTGTATCACATTCCTTTGGGTATATGCCCAGGAGTGGGATTGCTGGATCATATGGCAGATCTATGTTTAGATTTTTAAGAAGCCTCCAAATTTTTTTCCAGAGTGGTTGTATTGCATTCCCACCAGCAGTGTAAGAGGGTTTCTTTTTCCCCACATCCTCGCCAACACCTGTTGTTGTTGGTGCTTCTAATGATGGCTAATCTGACAGGGGTGAGGTGGCATCTTAGTGTGGTTTTAATTTGCATTTCCTGTATGGCTAGAGATGGTGAGCATTTTTTCATGTGTTTTTTGACCATTTGAATTTTTTCTTTTGAGAAAGTTCTGTTTAGTTCAGTTGCCCATTTCTTTATTAGTTCATTAATTTTGGGAGAGTTTAGTTTTTTGAGTTCCCTGTATGTTCTGGTTATTAGTCCTTTATTTGATGTGTAGCAGACACATATTTTCTCCCACTCTGTGGGTGTTCTCTTCAGTTTAGAGACCATTTCCTTTGTTGTACAGAAGCTTTTTAGTTTTATGAAGTCCCTTTTGTCTATATTTTCTCTTAGTTGCTGAGCTGCTGGGGTTCTATTGAGGAAGTCATTGCCTATACGTATTACTTCCAAAGAGTTTCCTACTCTTTCCTGTACCATCTTTAGAGTTTAGAGTCTAATATTAAGGTCCTTGATCCATTTTGAGTTGATACTAGTATGGGGTAATAAACATGGATCTAGTTTCAGTTTTTTGCAGACATAAAGCCTTGTCTTAACAAGTGTTTAACTCATCAGCTTAATCTGGGCAAGCTAAATAGTTTTCATTCTTATTTGGAAGAAGAATACCTTTTTTGCTTTGGTTGACTGGTGCTTTTCCATTAAAATGATGTTCTATTCAAGCAGGTCAAATTTTTTTCTTGGAAGAATCTATTCTGCATAGTAATGACAGTAGAAGAGATGTGTAAGAAACTTCCAGGAAGGCATTTTACTTATTACACTACTTGATAAAATCCTTCCCAATTAGATCAAGAATGGTCCACACTTGGGCATGATAACTAAGGAAATCCATGGTATCAGCCACCTTCAATAGCAGATTATACACTGCTTAATTAACCCAAAGAACAGAAATCCACACTATTATGGGGTCATCCAAAGTGATCATTCATTCAGTAACAGAAACTAGTTCATCTCTGTGGTTTATTCTTCAAAACACTTCACTGAAATCCTTATTAAAAGAAGCACTCAAAATACCTTATTGTTTTTCTCCAAAGGAGTCACATATCTGAATACTGAGTTGTTACCAAGTTTATAGACTATATAAAGCTAAATGCAAGAGTGTATGTATATGTTTTACATATGCACACATAAAGAAGGGGAGAAAGAGATGGAAGATGGAAATAGAATAAGAGGGGAGAGGGGAGAGGAAGAGGAAATTAACTGCTGTCTTTGCCTACACAGTGTGCATGTGCTACTACTGGTGAGAGTGACAAGCAATAGGAGAAAAAAAATCAAGTTGTTGCTTTGTAGTCCATTGATTTAATTCCCTCAGGAGCTCATTTATGTTTAATTTTATTAGTGTTTATTTTGAAGCCAATCCATTTCCTGAAAGTGTATTATCCTAGACAAGTAGATTCTGGTGAACCATTGAATACAATGGTTTCTTTAGCTAATTTCCTTGGTGAGACATAGTCTGAATTTTTCCTTGGACTTCTCTTAATAACTAGAAGCTTATGGTGTTGATCTGCAGTTTTCTTTGTAGATGTTTGGAGGTAGGAGGAAGGAGGACTACTACATTTAGGACTTTATATTCATGCAATAGTAGGACTCATATTTTTTCTTTAAACTTCTTTTATCCTCTCTTTCTTCTCATAATTCTATGTTGTTACCAGTGAATATGACAGATTTGCATTAAGTGATGTCAGTTTTATTACATACAGGCTGATAGACATAATGGGCTATTATGATGGATGCATTAGTAACACGTGGAGAATATCTGTTCTGATTTTATCATTTGTCTGTGCTACCAACAATGCCTTTTAAATCATACTAATACTTGAATCTTTCCCAACAAGCATGCAGTGTTTCTGGCATACTTTGGTGTTGATGGTTGAAAATTGACTGTGTTTGCTTTATATATAAAATAGTGAAGCTGGAATTAGAAAGTAAGCAGACCATAGTATTACTGGAAAAAAGGGCAAAATAATTCATTTGACTTTTCATTTTATGTGGGTAAAAAGTAGTTAGGATAAAGTGACTTTGTCTTTCTGGTTCTAACCAGTGATGTGCCAGGTAAGATCTGTGGGATACAGAGGGTTTATGTCTGTTTATTTATTTATTTTTTTGATGATTTAAACTTCTAGTTTTTGGGTTTTTTTGTTTCTTGGACACAGGGTCTTATGATATAGCCCAAGCTGGCCTTGAAATCACTATCTTCCTGCCTCAGCCTCCTGAGTGCTAGGTTTATAGACGTGCACCACCACACCTGGCTCTGAACTTTTAGTTTTAATGAATCCAACATTTTGCTAGACCTAGAAAGACAGTTAAGTGAACACTCCTGTGTTTTTGTTTTCTATGTGAAATAAACAATTTATATGACAAATATTTTTAGGGATTATTTGGGAAGAAGTCTTCACAGGCAAAAATTCAAAACAAGTCACTAAGAATATTTTAGAAAATGTGTCTATGAAAATTTTTGTGTAAGACAGATACTACTTAAGAGCTGGGTGCAGTGATTTGTGCCTTTAATTGCCACTACTTGGGAGGGAGAGTTAGCAGGACTTTAGTTCAAGGCCAGCCTGGAAAAAAGCTAATGATACTCTATCTTAAAGAATAAGCTGGGAGATGGTAGTTGATACCTATAGTTTCTGCTTCACTGGAAGCAATGATGGAAGGATCATGGTCCTATGGTGGCCTTGACAAGAGCATAAGACCCTATTTGAAAAATAACTACAACAGAAAGGGCTGGAGGCATGGCTCAAGTGGTAGAGCACTTGCCTAGCAAGCAAGAGGCTCTGAGTTCAAACTCCAGTACTGCCAATTATATACATACATACATACATAAATACTCTACCACATAAAATAAGTTTAATAATATCCCCTTAACTGATTTTTAGTAGTACATATTTCTACATAGGTGCTTTCTTTCTATCTATCAATAGAAATAACAAGTAGATATGCATATCCATGATGTTTTCTTGCGTTTTGTGTGTATCTTACTGTTACATGAAGAGGAATGATCTCATTTTACTGTTAATTATCTCAGTAGTATTACTTTATAATTTGTAAGAACTCAATTTTATTAGAGTGGGCATTAACTTCCAAGGCTCTTCATCTTTTAAACACATAAGTCTCCTATTTCCTGCAGTCATTCTATTTTTAAATTCTGTTGATCAATTGCCTTTTTAATAACATAAAATTATTAAAATATATCCTTCAGGAAAACTGTTTCAAGTGTTTGATCATGTATGGTTTCTAAAGCCCTTGTAAAGTGAAACACATAATCTAACTGCTTGGCGTCACTGTGCTATGACTAAAGACTGATGTGAAAAAGACCTGTAAATGTGGCCAGTAGCATTTTGATGTTCTTCAGTTAGTGCTTTCAGGGCTCTCCATCAGACTCATTTGCAGTTCTGAGCAGTCGTATTCTATAGGCCAGCTTTGTATTTTCACTAGTAACTTCAGCTCCAGCCCTTTATCTGAAAGTAAATACTGGTGAATAGCAAGAAGGCTGTTCTGGGAAGTCACAGGAGATCAAGCCTGTTCTTTTTCTTTATTTGAATATGTAGAAAGAAAGTGACAAGAGGAAGAGCTTTTCCTGCCTCTGCCATTGAGCTTCTGTGTGGAGTTAAACAGAGAGGATAAAATTGAAAGTCAGGAATGCAGAAGTCAAATCATTAAGATAATAATAATCACAACTACAGATAAGTCATATCACTCTGCAGGCTGGAAGGCCCATTTTTCAGCCTGCATTTGATCTCTACAAGCCTATGGTAGGCCTTGCCTCCATCTTCCTCATAAGAAGACTGCTGACTTGTCCAGAAGTACACAAGTAGTTAGAGGTCCTAGCAAAGTTTCCTTTGAAGGTTCTGTTCTTTGCCAGCCTCCTTCCATCATTAAAACCATATCACAATTAATCTATGTGATTACTTTTATCTACTGGCAGCTGAGCTCACCAAAGGTGCTCTAGCATTCCAGTGGAGTCTAAGAACTCTGAGGTAAGCAATGTTCCCTTTGCCACTTTTCTGCCTTTTCAGCC